CTCCTTCTTTCTCTTCTTCTTCTTCTTATCAACAAAAACAACAATCGAGGAGAATTGAACAAAAAATTAGTTGCACTGATTAAGCTCAAAGTCTCTCTCCCATGGGAGAAATAAATAATATAAAACGAAACAAAAACAAACACAAAAAAAAAACACTTGCCCTGTGGCATGAGTAACACACCATTTGTTATAACTTATAGTATAATTAAGCGCAAAGTACTTTAACTAAAAACAACAACAACAACATTCGATGACTGCACAGCGCTATTGTTGATTCATGTTCGGTCAGCTGTATATATGTAAATGAAACTATAATTATTAATAATTATTATAACATTCCATTTTTGTGCTCAAATTGAATCGAAAATATATATTCATATTGCAACAACAGAGATAAGTATCTCGATTTGGTTTGTATCACGAACATCTTTAAGAACTCAACAACTTTTGAAATAAAACAATATTTTAAATCGTAATTGCATTTGAAATACTTTCGCAATTTTGGCATTATAATATTCATATTTCTTCAGATATATGTAATATCTTCAAAAACAAAAAAACAAAAATATTTGCAGCAAATTTTTGTATTTGAAATAATTGCAACTAAGCATAACCCAAGTTAAGGCATTATATGCACACATACATATACATATACATATATATATATATACATATATATCTGACTCTGTTTTTGAATATGACAAACATAACCTACGACAATTTCTTTGTCGTTAGGAACATGCTAGCCTTGTAAAATATATATAGAATATGATAATTTATTACTTTTGAGACTTGCAAGAAATTCATAAGACAATATTTTTTATCAAGAATAAAGTTTGCTGCATTAGAAGCAAGTTTTTGTCATTGTCTTCAGCTAACCCTCAATATTTGTTATTAATATAGTATATATTATCATTATATTATTATATTATCATTAATATATATTATTATTATTATCATTAATATATATTATTATTATCATTAATATATATTATTATTATTATTATTATTATTAATATTATTAATATATTATTTAAGCAACATATATTCATTATTATTGGATTAGATTACACTTCAATTTCAATATTGATTAATTATTATTATTTTTTATTCGAACTTCATTGCATTTGCGAATCGAGCAAAAAAAAACTGCAATTTTGAATGACTCAGCAATTGAAGTCCCTATATAAATATAGAATATATAAAATTATAATAAATCAGATTAATACAAATATATGGAGAATAATACAAATGACAACTCGAGTTGTTTTCCATTTTATATAACTTGAGTAAGGCCTGCGGCCGCAAGATAACAAGAGTTTACAATACTTTTCTTTTTATTTTTTTTTATTTTTGGGTACTCGAAAATAGAAAATAGCCCAAAATGAAAGAAAAAATAAGAACAGAATTGTATCTGCGTGTGAGCGCAATTACAATATGCTCACCCCGCTTCCCGACTCGAGACTTTTCAGTTCAGTTCTATTCTATTCTATTCTATTTCATTCTATGTGGTACGCTTCGGTTCTCTATCTAATCTACTTTTTTGGCTTGCCCCACAGAACGCGACGACGTTGTCAATGCCAAAAGAACATTGAGAACAAAAACAAAGCGACGACAACGAATAGATCGTAAATGTATATACATATATGCATTAACAACAACAACAACAATTTCGAAAATTAAATGTAACATGACATTGAAACAAGACAAACGCAACAATAACAAAATCTGATACCTTTGTTATTGTTGTTTGTTGTATTTGAACAATTTTCAAGATTTTAGCAAAACACAAATTTTAAGCTGATTGTAATTGAGCAAAAAAACAAAATCACAACGAACTTCATAAAAGACAAGAGAAATAGTTCCCAAGGAAATAAAAACAAGCGTATTATGTAAAAGGAACTTGCTTTTAAGTACTTGAACCCATTTTGAACTTTTGTAAACATTGTCGAAAACCACTTGAGAGCTGCTTCAAACCAGCTAAACTATTAGATAATTGTGTTTTATTTGTTGTCGTCAGAACATTTGAAACTTGTTGGGTAAGTCTTCAGTTTACCTCTGGCAGAAATCACAACCTGCTCAAAAATTACCATACCACAGCATTTAAATAAATACAAAACAGGAAGGAAGAAACTTTAAAAATAAATAAGTTTAAAAAACAAAGGAGAAGCTTCTTTACTTGAGAAAAAAAGGAAAATATAAAATAAACATCTAATGTAAAAAAAATTAAAAAAAAAAAAGTGTAGAGAAAATATTAAACAACAAATATAGCTAAACGTAAAACAAGTAAAAGTAGTCGCACTAGAGATACCCAGTCAAAAAAAGAAAGATAGGGAAAAAAGCAGTAAAATCTTTTTCATCAACTAAAAAATTAGAAAAATATAATAGAATTAAAATAATGAAAGTCTACAATTAAATCTCCGTAAGTCGAACATCTTTTTTAAAATATTTAATATTTATTTATTTTTATTTTAATTTATTTTAAAATAGTTGTCGAATAGCAGATACCCTGGCTGTGCAGCAAATAATTAAGAGGAGTCTTCGTGACATTGAAAATTCTTATTTCATTTGGTTTTTTTTTTTGTTATGTGGAACAAGCTTTGCATAGCCAGTTTCTGGCTGTCTGGCATTTACAGGGTATTGCTTGGAGCTGTTTAAACAATATGATTGTCTAAATTGCAGATAGCTAGCAAAATGTTGGCTCATGCGTCAGAGCACACAGCTGGCTGTTTCATATTATCGTTTGAAATGTATCCCGCAGATACAGATACAAATGGCTTTGGCTATGGCTAAAGTGTTGGTGCGTAATCTAGCTATGCACATTTTGGCCAGAAACCGTTGTCGTTGTTGTTGTTGTTGCTGTTGTTGCTGTTGAGACTCTCTCAGCTGCGGTGCGCGGTTCATTGTCAATGTCAAAAAGCTGTCGACTGGTTTTTTACCTCTGTTGCTGTTGTTGCTGTTGTTGCTGTTGACGATTGTCTTGTAATTAACCAACAACTAGCAATTGTTGTTGTTGTTGTTTGCGGTTGTTTTGTGCTGACATTGATGCGGGTTTAATGCACCGCCAGCCGCGCTCTCTATGAGCCGCTTTCATTTTTTTTTTTCATTTTTTTGGCTAGAGCCGGCTAATGAAGCAATTAGGCGTCGACTTTTGCACTCAACAACAACAAGAATGTTAAAATGTGTAAAAAGGCAGCCAAAACTAAAGGAAACAAGTTAGCGAGTGCGACACTCGAGCGTGCTTGACTAGCAGATACCCTGTAAACAGCGCAAAGCTGTTTTAACATGCAGTCAAACTTCCTGTTAACTTCTCTCACACACACACACACGCACGCAGAGCTCGCAAGTTCTTAAGGCAGCAACTGTGCTGCTGCTTCTTCTTCTTCTTCTTCAAGTAACTTCCAGCTGTAGATATTCTAGAATGGATGTTAAATGTTTAGCAGAAACTTTTAGGATCTCTGAGTACCTTAGACAGAATATGCATAAATAGGCAGACCAAACAATTGAGCCCCATTTTAAAGAGTTTATTCAATGGATACAGGGTATAATAAATAAATAAATAAATAAAGATATATATATATATAGATAGGGAGCACGCAGTAACAACAACGGCCACAAAACTTGTTTTGGCCAAGAGAACAACACAAATGAAAGGCAGACAGAGGCGTCTATGGCACACACACACACACACACAAATAGAACGCGATTCTTGTGGGCCCCAAAAAAAAGAATGAACAAAAAAAATAAAGAGCCAAATTGTGTACGAAATTACGTAATAACGCAAAATAGACGTCGACTACGGCAGCGGCAACGAGGAGAGTGCCACATGTCCGTCTCGTGTCCAATGTCCGTCTCTCTCTCTTGGGCCGATTTTACTGTACACGTCGCCACAGTTGGCTAACACACACGGTACACACACACACAGGTAGCGGGCGCAGCAGCCCAAGAGATACGCACAGATGCGACGACAAGTCAAGGTAAAAAGTTACGCGTTTTTCGGCATGGCCACTTACGTATCCCAAGCACGAGATACTTGTGTATCTGACAGATACAAACGCAGGGCCAGCCAGCTAAGCTGCATCTGCTCAAGATACTTTTATAGCTGCACGTGGGGGGTGGGGTATGCAAGTCAACGTGTCACTGAGATCTCTCTGACGGATAAGCCCCAAATTCTGGCCAGCTCAAGACCCACGCGGCCACTCGAGATTTTCATTTCGTCGTCGTCGCAGCTTTGTGTCAACCGTTAGCTGAATTTAGGGCCTACGCATTAGCGCTGAGATACATTTTAGACACGCATCTCGCTTATGCCACGCATGGAAAATTCCAGGTATCAAACAGCAAAATACAAAATGTGCCAGCCTGCAGTTGTTGTCAATTCCAAGAGCATCAGATACGTTTCTTTTCTATCGAAGAGCAGCTGCTACAAGAGAACTCTAGCAGAGACGGCAAGTTATCAGCTATGCATGAAAATAACTTTCCCTATAACTTAGATATATTCAAGGTATTATACTTAAGACATATATATATAGGGGCTTCTATACGCTCATATAACTTGTCGGATACTTAAGAATTTTCCATTCTGCGCCAAGATTTTCTATCTCTTTTTAAACCACTTTCTATATATATATATTAGATATGCCCCAATTTGTATTCATAATAGATTTCATAAGATTTCAGTTACTCTCTCAAAAAAATGTTTGGCATGCTTCAGTTTCTCACATTTCCTTGTAAACCTTATATTTCAGACTCTCTCTCTCTCTCTTTCTCTTAGAATATCCATGAGTTTTCCCAGCTTTATGCCATATTTTCTTTGTTTATCTCTTTTGATAACAAGAATTTTGGTTACCAGGTCTAACTTTTTCTTATGCCTAAGAACTCTTCAATTTTTCCAGCACAATTTCCTTGAAATATTCCTTCTCTTTAATCTACAGAAAACTTCGTCTTGCTTCTTCTGGAACATTTTCAGCTTTCGATATTGATGCGATCCATCCAGAACTTACCTTTTTAATGTATCCCGTAGTTTCTGGCTATTGTTATTGTTATTATTATTATTATTGTTGTTATTATTATTATTGTTGTTGTTGTTGTTGTTGCTGCTGTTGTTGTTGTTCTTGTTGCTGCTGCTACTATCCACGGCGATTTGTTGTTGTTGTTGCTGCGTAGTTTCGGCTAATTTTCCAAAACAAATGTTACGGCTGCTGTCGCGTACCATGTTTCGAGAACTCACGATCTATTGAGCATTTCTCGTATGCCGTCGTGGAGGCGCATAATTTTAAATGGGCGCGCTCCTCCCATTGAATGAATATCCCGTCGTGTGTAGAGCCTGAGCTCTATATGGATTTGCTTTTGCTATGCTCGTTCTCACTCGCACATTTTCGAGATACTTTTTCTCTCTCTTCTTCTTTTTAGCTTTTTGCTTTTTGCTTTTGCACTAGATCTCTTGATTGATTAAATTTTCAATAGATTGCTGCATTATTTATTTTCTTTTTCATTAGCTTCGCACACACAAGAGATGCACGCGATTCAATTATTTTCTTTTCTTTCTTATTTATTTTTTTTTTTTAGTATGGGCTGCAAATAGATTGGAGGGGGGGAATTGAGTTGGGGGTTTTGAGGGTGGGGGTTTTATATTTTGTTAGCATATTAAAAAAATTATGAAATGAAAAAAAACATTTTTTCGCATTTTATTGTGAAGACACTTTTTGCACTTTTTTTGTAACTTCAATTGGAGCACTTTTTTTTTTTTTTTTTTTTTGTTGTTGATGTAATTTTCATTTTCTTGATTTGATTGGGCGACAACAAAGCTTATGCCAATTTATGTTAATTTAGCACTAAAAATACACAAATGTTTTAATTTAATTTAACTAGAGAGCAATTTAAATTTATTGAAATCTCAATGGGGCGGTCATATGTATATGTACATGTATATTGTATCTATGAGATACGCAAGATCTTTGCGCTCAATTTAAAAGGCAAGGCGCTGGACAGGGGCTGCACATAAGACTATCGCGTGTGTACACACACACACACACACACACACACACACACACACACATAGCTACATGTATATAAGCAATAGGGTCTGGCGTACTGTTCTGCAGCGCGCATTTCCTTTCTGGACAACAACAACAACAACAACTGCAACAACAACGGCAACGACATAAGGTGGAAAATGCGAGCAGCGACGTCGACAGCACGTTATTATAATCCAGTCAACGTTACAAAAGCAGGCAGCCGGACCGGGACCGGGACCAGGTCCAAGAGAACCACAACGCCATCAATCCACAAACCGGCCAAAAAAAAAACAACAACAGCAACAAAAATATAAGAAACAAAAAAAAAAAGAAATCCAGCCCGAGCCAAGCCAAGCGGGGCGCATGTTAAAATTCCAAAAAGCAGGCAACATGGAAATACAAGAACAACATTCATGCTTTCTGCCCCGGCCGCTATCGAGCTGCTGCCAGCCTTTTGTTGATGGCGTGAAGTTTGGCAACGTTGTTGTCGCTGCTGCGCCTCACTGTCTCACTCACTCTGGCTGACTAATGCGTCGCGCTCTATCTCTCTCTCTCTCTCTCTCTCGCTGTCTTGTGCACGCTGCGTAGCGTATGTGTGTGCTGCTGCTGCTGCTGCTGTGAAGTTTGGCAACGTTGCCATTTGTGTGTTTGCTTATAATTGACGTTTGCACTGAACTGCTGCGCTGCTGCCGCTGCCAACGCTGTCTGACGTGGTTGTTATAGCTACTCACTATATATATATATATATATATAGCGCAAAGTGGGGTGCCTGTTGTGTGAGCGAGATAGAAGGACAGGTTTTAATGGCCCGTTGTTGCTGCTTCAGCGCACACACGCACACATACATACGTATGTATAAGAGTATGAGTGTGTGTATGTTATGTACTTTTATGTACATAAAGAATTTATAGCTGGTACTTTTTGTGCTGCTGCTGTTGCTGCTGCTGCCTCTGCCTGGGCATGGCATGGAAAAACGAGTATCTTCTGTGAGTTTGTTTTTGCCGTTCGTCATTGTTGTTGTTGTCCGTCGCTGCTGCTGTGTATTTATAAATGGTTATGTAGTCATGTGTATATACAGTATGTTTATGTATGTATGCATGTGTGTGTGTGTGTGTGTGTAAGTCGCGAGGGGTGCTTTGGGAACGCGCGTTGTTATTTCACGTTTTTCAGCCATTACGTACCCCGAGTAACCCGCTACCAACGTCGTAGATGACGACGTTGTGATATGGCCATGCATAAAATGTAGTTTTGTAGCTGCCATTGTGTTTGCTGTTGTTGCCATTTGCTACGTTTTTGGGGCCCTTTGTACATTTTGGGGCGCAGCAGGAAATCACAACTACACGCAAAATGAAGCCCATAAAAATACTTTATGTGCATGTGTTTGTGTGTGTGTGTGTGTGTGTGTGTGTGTGCTAAACCTACAATATGTGTGTTTGTTTGCATGTGTGCGCTGCCTGTACAAAACGCGCAGCCGCTAGCGGGCGTTGAATGCTAGCTCGCTTACACGCGCATACACAGCGCTATCGCTCTTGCATTCGCACTCGCACACACACACACACACACACATACACACACAGAGAGAGAGGCCCCAGTTGGAGAGCTTATGGCGGCAGCCATTGCTGTGGCTGTGGCTGCCGCTGCTGCTGCCGACGTCGTCGTTGGAGCTGCCAATCGATCGTGAAAGTTTTTTGGTGCTGCCTGGCTGTACTAAAACGCCGCTGCTGCGCATCAGTCGCTTTGCATGCCTGGTGGGGTGCGGTTCAAATCGCTATATAATATTTGTTGTTGCTGCTACTGCTGTGGGCTAGCGCTTTTTCTGCGCCTCTGTCGACGTGTGCAAAAATCTATACCAAAGAATTTGAAAATACACTTATAATCAAAAGAAAAGAAATCAGCATAACAAGAACTAAACGAAACGAAAAAAAAAAAAAACATATTCTGTTCAAATTGTGCGTCTCTCTCTCTCTCTCTCTCTCTCGTCTCGTCTGTTCCTCAGTCCACATTTTTTGCGTTTGTTCGATGCGTATTTTTGTCTCTCTACATAGCCCGGCGGCCATTTTGTTTTTGGCCATTTGAAAACGTATTTGGCTTAAATATTACAGCAACTACGACGTTTATGGCTAAACACTGTGACCATTTATAGATAGCATTTTGCAAAATCCCATTAAGAGGCTGCTTTGGCTAGAATTCGAATTTCATTAATATGCGAGCAGCTGCTGCTGCTGCTGCTGCTGCTGTCGCTGCCGCTGCCGCTGCTCGGGCAGAAGAAGAAGCAGCCAAACCAGTTTTCTGCTTATTCTTCTTCTTCTTCTTCGTCATTTGTAGTCAGCGAACTATGCAGTCATTTTTGTAGCGCTGCTACGTGACCACACACCAACACACTTACACACACACACGCACACACACTACAGTTGTATAGTCGTGCGACGACCGCATTTGCAATGTTGTCTCAGAGGGGGGAAAAACAAGCGGGGCAGCAGCGGATGCCACCACACGCCGCGACGCTTCCAACGCCCAACAACAATACAGAAAACTTTTGTAGTTTTTGTCGTACAACGTAGTTTCTACCAGCACACACACACATACACCTTTACAGGCGCACGCGCACGCACACGAAACGGGTTAAATAAAGGTTTTTTTTTGTTTTTACTGCATCCGGCAGCTCGCTCGCACTCATGGCCCATGATTGTTTCTCTCGCTTGCACGCGCGCGTTCTCGTTTCGTGCAGCTGAATCGATTTTTCAACGAGCGACAAACGACAACGTCGACGTCGACGGCGACGAGCGACGAGCGACAACGACGCTACAGCAAAACGCGACACGACAATTTCTCTCCATACTTAAGCGCCATCTCGCTTGCACGCACACACGCTAGCGCTTATTTGCGCGCTCGCTCGCTCTCACCACTGTTGGGGCTCAAACACACATACACACATGCATACATATGCACAGGCAGCGCCATATTACTTTTCGTTGTTGTTTTTGCTACCAACTCGTTGAGGGGGAGCTGTCAGCCTGGATTTTTGCTACAACAATGTGAACGTCGCTGTCGCTGTCGCTGCTGTAGCCGCTGTTGGCGTCGCTGCCGTCGCTAGCTGCTGCTGCCAGCGCCCGCCTCGTTATTTTTCAGCCCGTTGCACGTCATCCGTTCGCCTTATGTGCTTTGAATTTCTGATGAAATTCTTTGCTTTCGAGTTAATTGCTGTTGCTGCCGCTTCTGCTCGGCACGACGACGGCGGCAGCGACCGCAGCAGCAGCGCCCCTAGGCCCCAAACTGGAGCTGGCTCTGTCTCAATCGTTGTGCCATTTTTCTTTGTGCTGCGCAGCTTTGTAGATCGGCTCTAGAAAACCAGCGAATCGAGTCCTGGGCGTATGCACACACACATACATATGTACACACACATTTGTATCATATATATATATATACATATATGTATTTGTATAGCTTTAGTTGTGCTCTTTGTTTAATTAAGGAAATTAGCATAAGCTTTGTGAGGCCGCTTTTAAATTTAGTTTGGACTCTTTTTTGAACACTTGCTTTTATTTTGAAACACTTTGCAACACTTTTCATTTGCAATTGCCAATTCACCTCGTTATGATTATTTATTTTTTTTTGTTGTTATATATTATATTTTGCATATAAGACACTTTTAATTTTCATTCCAGTCGCTGATTTGTTTCCTTACCAATAGCGTTGAGAGCTGCAAAGAAAGGAAATACAAAATCGTATTAGAATAGAATAGAGAGCTCAGGGTAAAGAGATATTTTTTTGGCTAAATTTGAAGTCTGCTTTCTGGAAAAGGCAGCTGCCTTTCCAGTTTCCAGTTTCTGTACTTACACCATTTCCAGTTGGCGATCGTCGCTTAGTTCCAAACCGTTTTGGACTGTATTCGAAATTTTTGCATAATTTATATATTTCAAAAACCTCCAAACGATCCCGTTTTAAAGTTCGATGCGATCACGAGCCGGTAGTCAAAATATTTTCATTATTTTCATTAATTCGCGTTTTTCACTTTGGAATTTGGGCAATTTGGTGAATTCGATTCAACAACAAAAAACCCAACACAAATGCATATTTCTTTTTTCTTTTGAATTTTGCGCAAAAAACAATAAAAAATTTATTTTCTTTTTTTTTTTCAATTTTGTATTAGAATTATTTGTATTTAGATTGCATTTGAAATACTTTTTTGGCTTTTCATTCAATTTGCTGCAGCGGCAGCTTTTACGTATTGTTTTTGTTTGTGTTTGATTGTATTTCTATTTGTATTTACTTTTGTTGTTGTATTTGCATTTGCATTTGTATTTGTGTAATTAATGCGTTTTCGCACATAAACACAATTGCCCACTCGCACACACATGCATAAACTTACGCACGTACTCACACAAACACACACGCACACAACACACAGGCGACACACTAGCGCGCGTACGCTCCGATGCCGCACACACTCTCACATATGCATTTACACAATTTGCATAAATAGAAGAGCCAGAGCCGTTTGCATGGAATCGCGACGTTTTGTATGGGGGCGGGGGGCAGCAGGGGTGTGTGATTTGTGTTATTTAATTATTATGCGAATTATTTAAATATTTTTAAAATAATTTTTGCGTGTGTTCGGCGTCTTGAATATTATTAATTTTTGCTTGTAATTTATTTCAGTTTAATTACATATTTGCCGCGCGCGCAGCGACAACGAACCAACCACGACAAAAATTCAACTGAAACTGAAAGAATAAGCGAGTTGCCAGATTTGAATGAGTGAGGGCTGGCATTCGTGGACGTGTGGCAACGCTAGCATTTTTCAAGGGGCAGAATTGGTGCATTTTCCATATGAACAAGGTTGGCAGCTCTAACAGAGTGCTGCCGGTTATTGAATTTGTGACGTCAGACGCCTTTAATCTCATTTTATATATATAAAATGCTTGTGTTGTGTAAGAAGAGGCATTTTAAGCTGACTATATTAAAATATAACGAAGTTAAAAGAAAAAATAATGAATGACTATAACTGCATTGCAACTTGTACTTATATTTCATTTAAAATGAATACAATATTATACTCGCCGCTAAGTCATTTGATTTTCAAAACAGAGCGGCACATATGCGTACACTTTACAACACTTGCAGCGCTGCCAACCTTACGCACAAACAACTGCTTGTCGGGTTGGCAGTAAACAAAAAACAATTACGATTATTAAAAATATTTATGCGGTGGCATTTACCGTCCACCGCTGAAGAGAATGAGCAATTTAAAGCAGGATCTAGATGAATATCTACTGCTGCAGAGCGATCAGAAAAAGAACTTCAATGTAAAGCTGCCGCAAATAAAGGTGCCAGGCCTGGCGCAGATCTTCTCGCGCACAAGCGAACCGACCGAGGCAAACAGTTGGTTGAAGGACACCCAAGACTCCTGCTGCCCCAAGCTGGTGGGTGGCGCCACCGACAGTATCATTCAATTGTTATTATTGTGTCCATAATTCCCGTTACAGTCACGTTTGCAGCGCATCGTTGGCTTTGTCGCCTGCCTGGGCATGGGCTGCCTGTGCATGACCCTATCCACGCTCTACATTCCGGTGCTGATGCTGAAGCCAAAGTTTGCGCTGCTCTTTACGCTCGGCAGCCTGTTCTTCATTCTCAGCTTTTGCTTTCTGATCGGATTTCAGGCGTTCTTCAAGCAAATGTTCTCCAGGCCCCGTCTGGCCACATCCATCTCGTACAGCGCCTGCCTCACGCTGACCCTGTACTTTGCTCTGGTGGCAAAGAGCACAGCATTTACGGTATTGTTTGCTGTGGCACAGATAATCACGCTGCTGTTCATGCTGCTGGGCATGGTGCCCGGCGGGGCGACAGGCCTCAAGTTCTTTGGCCAGCTGTTCAAGAGCAGCGTCTCCAGTTCGTCCAGTGCGCTGCCCGTCTAAATTGTGTACAATAATCATATAATTCAAATTATACAAATTATTTATTAATCGTTATGATAATGCAGAAATAAAACTTATTTGTGATACTACGACTAGTCCTCTATTTCGCCCAGATACAGTGTCTTGTCGCTGGACCCGGACAGTATCAAGGGTTCGCGCGGACTGAAATCCACATCGTTTACGCTGCCATTGTGTCCGGGCAGCTTGTACAGTATTCGCCGGGTGTTCACGTCCCAAACGTAGACATGACGATCGGCTGAACCGGCGCTGATCTTGTCGCCGCCCGGTGCCCAGGCGCAGCGCAACAGATTCTTCTCAAAGTTATGCTGATGCCCCTGGAACACCTTGACGCAACGCTCGCCCGGCGCATAGGCGCGCACATCCCACACGCGCAGCGTATTGTCCATGGCATTCGTGAGCACAAAGTCGCCCTCCGGCGACAGTGCAACGGCCGTTATGGTGTCCGTGTGCCCACGCAAATGATGTAGCACCTGCTGTTTGCGTATGTCCCAGATCTTGAGCTCGTTGTCAATGCCGCCGCTGATGACCTGTTCGCTGGTATCGCCAAAGCAAACGGCCGTCAGCTGATAGGGCGATTCCAGCACGTGGGCCGCCTGCTTTTTGCGTGCATCCCAGATGCGTATGGTGCGATCATCGCTGCCGGAGCACAACAGCTGCTGGCCACGTCTAGAGCCCTGCACGCTGTTCACAAAGTTCGAATGCCCTTTGAGACGCCGCACTCGCTGACCCGTCACAATGTCCCAAATGGCCAGCGTTTTGTCTGTGGAGCAGGTGAATATATGGGAGCCATCCGGCGTAAAATGCGCCTCCATGACGGCTCCGCTGTGCCCGGACATGGCCATAATGTTCTCACAATCCCCATACACCTGCCAGATATCTAAACAACAAGAAGTTAGACCAAAACAGCGTCTGCGAAGTGCTTTGCCAACTTACACAGCTGCCTATCGAAGCCCGAGGAGAGCAGCATCTCGCCCTCCGGATGGAATTCTGTGGTAAATATTTCGCCCTCATGTCCCTCCAGCTGCATGATGGGCGCTTGCAGATTGGAGGTGCGCCGCACGCCCTACAATTGTAAATAACAGTAAGATTAGCTAGCAATATCGAAGTTTTAATACCCTTTACAAGCATATCAGATGTGCCGAATATATCCACTCTTTACAAACCAACATTGTTTTTTTTTTTTTTAATTTAATTGGTGTTGGTGTTACACAATTCGTTACAAAATGATGATACCCTTTCTGCAAGGGTATAAAACAGGCCCACACCAAGCATGATTCTTCTTCTTCTTCTTCAGCCAGCGGCACGACGCTTGCTTACCGATTCGAGCAGTGCCTTGTCCCGATTTGTATAGGCCATAATGTCATTTTTGCTGCGTTTGGGCTCCTGCGCCAGCACCACGCTATTATTTGGACGTTTTGTGCCCATTTTATGAATAAATTTAACTAAAACGTATGCGAGCAGATTTTCGGCCGCAAAAACAAATGCTAGCGCTGCCAACTCGCTTGCAGCTTAGTGTTGCAAAGCGCCGCCTTACCAACACTAGCAAAATACCATAAGCAGATACAAATAGAATATCTTTATTTTCAAATCATTTTTTATTTTATTTAAAACATATTTCAGCTATACATTTGCAATTCTTCCCAACTGTGAGCAGCTTAATATGCATCTACGCGTGGTGGCTCCGCAAACAGTTCCTCCCGCTTCCGCTCACCGGTTAGCCATTGCCTGTAGCGTTCGTTTCGCATGGCCTGTAAATAGATGTACTTAATAATCGATTGAACTTGGTACATTTCAAAATATGAATTTACATGGAAGCGCATCAACTGTTTTCGCATGCCAACGCATTCCTGAAAGTCGCCAATCAGTTCAGCGCACTGCGTTTTGCCGCGCTCCAGCCCGTAAGCCTCCAGGCAGTCCATCATTTTCATTTCGAACTTGCCGCATTTGTCGTAGGTCTGATGATTGATCAGGCAGCCGGTCAAATCGGTGAGTGGCAGGCGCAGGAAGGGCGTCAGCGACATTTCGGTTGCAGCTGCTGAAAAACAATATATATTGGTATTATGTGTGCTTTCCAATTGGAGTATGCGACGACATTCTGTGACGTAACAATAACAATGCTTTTAGCTGGGCCTTTACACCAACTGATGCCAATTGTTGCTGCTGAAGCTGCACTTTGGTAGCTATTACGCCAAATGGGAGGCTTACTGCAGCTAAAACGCACCTTAAATTCCAATCAAATGAAAAATGGTAATATTTGACAATAGACGGCTGATAAATTGGGTGCAGCACAGCTGGTCACACTGGCAAAGCAGCTGTCGATAGTTTGCAGCTAGTTGCACAGCAAAATAATCGAATGTAACATATTAAACAGTGTTGACAAACGTTGCTTTGGTTGCACGTTTTGTTTACATCTTAAAGCTTGGGTTTTCGTTCATTTAATTTCATTTTATTGAATTGACTATTGAGATAATATGAAAAATCAGGCATTGATTGACTACTTGGCAGCCTGTGGCGTCTGCCGCGTGTGTCAGCTGCGTTATTTAAAGGCGCGCGGCAACGAATATCGTGACATGCAGCAAACATTTAAGCGCGTGAGCAAAAAAAAAACAAATCAAAACCGAGCGGCTTATCACAAAATATAGACGATCTTAATTCTAGCTGGATGTGGAAGTGTCGCCAAGTGCTGAGGCACAAGACACGCCCGATGAGCAGCCGCCAAAGAAGCCGCGCTTCAGCATTTGCTCCACCTGCTTGGGTCTCTTCTCGGAGGAATTTCAAACTCAACTGATCGAAGGAATTCTCAAGTCCGATTTTGCCAATTATGATAGCGAGGGCATTGTACTGGCCATTAGCCTGCCCATGACGCTGCAGCTGCGCCAGCTTTCCATGTGGTTTGCGCTGCAGCGTCAATTTGGTCGCAGCGCCATCGATGACAACTGTCCGCCGGATGTGCCCATCAAGGAGGCGGTCAAATTGATTCTACATCCCATTGTGTGCGCCAGGCTGGGCAAGGCATACGATGCCAATGGACTGATGATAAACATCGATGTGCGGCACAGCGTGGAGGCGGCGGAAGTGGCCAAACTGGCGGAGCTTAACCGGGCGGCATTTCCCGCCAAGGCGGCCCACCAGAAACGCATCGAAATCTCACGCGGTCTGCTGGAGAAACAATATCAGCCGGCGCGCATAAAGGCCGAACTCTTCGAGAAATACTTGCCCATACCGCCGACCGCCGTCGAGGATGCACTGCAGCTGCAGGCTATCGAGCTGACGGGTCCCCTGATCTGCGTGGCCGGACGCTACCGCAAGCTCAGTCGAGAGCTCTCGCACACGCCTTGGGTGCTGCACGGCAAGCGCATTATGGAGGAGAGCATTGAGGAGATAATTGTGCGGCATGTGGGGCCGCATTTCAGCGAGACTCTGGAGAAGATAACGTTCATGTCGAGCGGCCGTGAGGATGTCGATGTGCGCTGTCTGGGCAAGGGCCGTCCCTTTGTGCTAGAAATAGCCAATGCTCGGCGGAGCAGCATGACGCGCCAGCAGGCCCATCAAATGGAACAGGCGGTGGATCGCACCGGCAAGGTGTCCATACACAATCTGCAGGTGGTGCCGCGCGAGCAGCTGACACACATTAAAACGGGCGAGGAGCAAAAGCGAAAATATTATCGCGCCTTATGCGTGCTGGAGCAGCCGGTTACGTTGGATATTCTGCAAAAGTTGCAAATATCGGCGAGCTTTGATATACAACAGAAGACGCCCATTCGTGTATTGCATCGCCGGCCGCTTCACACCCGACCCCGCACAATATTCAGTGTAAAGACGCGCGTTTTTCGGGATAATCCGCGCCTGCTGATCATTGATGTGGTCAGCCAGGCGGGCACTTATATCAAGGAGCTGGTGCATGGCGAATTTGGACGGACGACACCATCCATATCCTCAATTATAGGCAAACCCATTGACATATTGGCCTTGGATGTGGTTGGCATAGATCTGGATTGGCCAGCGGATGTAAATAATGCGGAAACTGAATAAACGGCTGTTTTGTTTTGAATTTTGTGAAGTTGTACAACACTGATAGCTGGCACATTGGGGGCTGCGCCTCGCGCAGTTGCGTCAAATGGCATGAAATGCAAATATACGCGCTATGGCGTGACGTCACTAATTCGAATAGCTCATTAGTACGCCAATTGGCGTAGAGCAATTCTTGAAATCTTATGATTATTTTTCACTGATGTATTTAGTTGCTATTAACAAAATAAATATCATTTAAAAGTACTTGCTTACGCAAATAAATAAAAGTTAGTTTGATTTAAGACCCGCATGCAAAACTTAACAGCTGTGACGTCACTGTCGAGAGCAGGGTAGCGCACTGTTCAGCCTGACCTGTAGAAGCGCATGCCAGCAAGTTGGCAGCACTGCTCTCTTATCAGCTGAGAGCGCTTGCAGTTCGCATACTGATTTGTTTAGTTGCGTTATTTTAACTTTTAAAGTTTATTAACAGTCATATGTTAAACAAATCGTATTGTCGCGTGTGCCTAAGCATATTGATAAATATATTTAGCTAAATGTGTGACTGTAAACAGTGAATTAAAGACTGTTGTGCACATCTGCTGCGTTCTAAGCGCATTCTGAAAAAAAAAAAAAACAGCGCCCGCAAATTTATAAATTATGAATTGAAACGTGCACAGAAAGTGAAAGTGAGTGTTGCACATTGCAGCAGCAGCTGCTATTCACACAGTGACTGCAAAAATGTACGCACGGAAAAAAGTGTATTTTCTATTTGTTGTTTTTTTCTATGAGTGCGCCACTTGACTTGCCCGCGCGGATTGGGTGTGTGTGAGAGAACGCCCCGCCGACCTTCAGGCAACCTTCACTGACTTCAATGCCTGCGCTGCTGCTGCTGCTGCTGCCGCCAGTGTGCAACACGTTGGGGCCCAATGACGACATTAGCAGCGTCTCACGTGTGTAATCAATAGAATCAGCAGCAGACAGCAGCCGAAATAAACAAACCCAATGCACAGCCCGCCAAACCCCATAAAAACTATATATGTATGTATGTATGTTTCTCGCTCTACTCTTTGACGCGCCCAGACCAAACGCGTCCCCTCGCGCTGTCTGCCCCTCTCGCTCTGGCCGGCTGCTAAGTAACAACAATCAACAAATTCACCCAATAGACAAATTTCTTGTCACACTTTGCAGCTGCAACCCAGCAAACGCATTTCGTGCGCGCTCTGCCCGCTTCGCTCTGCTCGCAGCAGAATTTCAACTCGCTCGCTCGCAGCTCAGTTCCGTTCAATTTAGTTGAGCTCGAGACGCTTAGCGAAAACGTTTTGCTTGCGCGATAAATACCCAAAAAGTAAACAAAATTGAAATTCTCAAAGTGTTGACAGCGTCTATTATCATTATCGTTCGCGCTGACCCAGTGCCTCTGGCCCTCTCACAGTGATAAACTGATACCGACTGATAACGCACAGGCGTATGGAAAGTCGAATGTGTGCATTTTAATTTATTTCTTAATTTCAATTTGTTTATTTAATTTTTGCATTTAATTAACCCAGTATTTTCATACATGCCGCTTACGTCATTTAAAGCGGCTCTCAAAACAGCAACAACAACAACTATTTAATGCGCCTAATTTGAATCTTACAGATACATAAATATATATAAATATATACAAATACATATATACGACTATAAGCTACAGATACTTGGTAGAAAAAGTTCAACGACTTTTTGGATTAAATTGCAAAGAATATTCATTTAATCTTATTTATTTGCCACGCTCTCCCTCTCTGTGTGTGTGTGTGTGTGTGTGCGTGCGTGTGTGTGCGTGTGCATGTGTGTGTAAACGACCCACAAACGTGTCAGTTAGTGCTTTATCAACAACAACAACAACAACAACAACAACAACAACAACAACAACAACAACAACAACAACAACAACATTTGTGATCATGAACGACCGTGAAATTAGCTGCAATTCGGGCGGCCAATTTATGGATCGCGGACGCATGAATCAGAACGGCGTTGTCCAACCGCTGCTCACCGGTAGGTATTATATTCCAAAATCGGGGAAACTTATCTCTTAAAATGTACATGTATATCGAAAATGATCAAAAAATATCAAAAATGATCAACAACTGAGAGTTTAGATGTAATTTACACAAGTTCTTTTTAGACCCTGAACCCAATAGAGTACATAAAGTAATACGACCTCATAAATATATATAATATTCCGACCACATAAAGTATATGTATATATTCTTGATCAGCATCCACAGCGAAGGCGATATAGTCATGTCCCTGTGGCTGTTCGTCTATAGCTATAAGATTTAGAGACCTGAAACGTACTCAAACCTGAACGTAGCTTCTTCTAGTACGATTTTGTTGCCAACAATCGATAACTTGCTTTGTTTGTTTCAATCGCAATCGGTAAAAATCGATATCGATATCATGTTTTTAGAGCAAATTTTGGGAACATTTTATTCAGATCAAGTATCTTTCATTTTAAAGCTGCCGCCATCGAACTAGATCTCGTTTTTAAAATAAATAATAATAAAATTATGAAATATTAGAAATACAAATTGTCGAGGAATAAGGAAAGGTTCTCAAAAATGTTGCTCCAATCATCAGAATCATCTTTGGAATCTAAGAGAAATATTTTACATTTAAGCAATAAATTTTTGAGAAAGTACGCCATAAAAACCTGCAGGAATTCGATATTTGATAAATTATAAACAAATGAAGAAATAAAAGATAAAGTTTTGAAATTTATTTTGAATACCATTAAAGGCAAAATATCTTAAGCTTAGGACTGACATTTACTTAGAAAAGATCTGTTAAGGTTCAAGTTATAGGAAAACGTATTAGCAAGCGTTAAAATAGATCATTTTCCTATTAGATGAGGTCTAACGCTTATAATAGTAAAATATTGCTTATATGCGAGCTCTAAGAAAACGTATTATCAAGCGTTAGAAAAACTTTTTATTATTGAGGTCAAGCTCTCAAAATAAATACTCCTTGGAGTAAACAGAAAAAGTATTCTCATGCTTCCAAGTAAAAATGAATAAATGTTAAAAATAAAAATTGTTATCAAGTAAATGCCACAATTCATCAGTCACCATAAAAACGCATGATTGATGCTTAAAAATAAATTTTATATTAGTAGCCTAAGTATTTCTCAAATTCTAGATAGACTCTATAGATATTTATAAAGAAAATTGCATTTAGTTTTTTTATTGAACTGAAAGCGGTTTCTTCATGCATTCGAATAGGCAATTTAAATTAGTTCAAGCTCCTGCTTGGCATTTACATTTTTAGTCTTATTCTATTTTTGGCCAGGCGGAAAAAAATTATATATATATATAGACATGTAATTGGCTGATCTTTGAGTCTTATTTAGATAAGAATTTGCATTGGATTGTGGCGTGTTTGTTTTGTGTGGCCTGCAATTTTGCATGCGGGCTGTGAACTTTGATCGTATCTTATCGCACGAGCTGGATTTAACCACTCGTATAATGATTAAGCACACAAAGAGTAGAAGGCATCATATCATTTTGTTAATCGTCAGGTGTGTCTAACATCGCAATGTTTGCTTATCGGCTTTATCTCTCTTATTTGACTTAACGCAGATTTATATCAAATAACAATGGCCTATGCCTACTGGAAGTCGGGCAAAACGGACGATCAGGCGGTCTTTGATCTCTTCTTTCGCAACAATCCATTCCATGGCGAATTTACCATTTTTGCCGGCCTAGAGGAGTGCCTCAAGTTTTTAGACAGCTTTCATTATTCGCAGAGCGGTAAGTTTATCAATTGATCATAATTCATTTTATATGCATTAAATTGTTCCCTCATAGATATTGATTATCTGCGGCAAACACTGCCCGAGGGCATTGAGAATGAGTTCTTTGAGTATTTGGGCAATTTGACAGCTCATGATGTTACGCTTTATGCCATTGATGAGGGCACTGTGGCATTTCCCCGGTGAGTTGATTGATAAGGTTGGTTTTTAGGCTCAGCTTAAGTTAAAAGGCGCTCTTAACATGACTGTTAAATGCTTAACATGACTGTTAAAAGCTTAACATGCCTGTTAAAGCTTTAAAATGTTGATTTCTTGCTGTTTACATAATTTTTAAACTGTGATTCTTATTAATCTGATGTCCACTGTAAGATACAGATTTATCATGAATCTTGTTTTATTTTTTTCATATAAATCTTTGCATCCTCACACTCATATGAATTATATGATACAGCGTGCCCATCATAAAGCTTGAAGGACCCTTGATAATTGTACAACTGCTGGAGACAACGCTGCTCACGCTCGTGAACTATGCCAGGTGAGTGAACAGTGATATCTATATAGGAATCTCTTATTTAATTGTATTTTATTGCGCAGCTTAATGGCGACAAATGCAGCGCGCTATCGCATGGTGGCTGGCAAGCACGTTAAACTGCTGGAGTTTGGGCTGCGTCGAGCGCAGGGACCGGACGGAGGACTATCCGCATCAAAGTATTCCTATACAGGTACGAAAACTACGACGATTTTGCCGTGACAACTAAGGTCAAACGTGTGCGATATGGCTATATATTTATGTATATACTTTTTTGGCATTGCTAAATTGCATGCACCTGGCTCGTAATCAATTAAAAGACAGGCCCAAAAAACGCCCCACATGGAAGATTGCCTCATTTTTGCCTTCGCATTGATCCATGCAGCGGAACTTGGGGCATGGATAGTCAGTCGGCAATGTTTCATATAGCTTGTTCTGGTCTTTTATGATGTGCTTGCATGCAAAGCACGTGTCACTGTCACTCGATGTGGGCTCCAGCCTTGTTACGGCCAGCTGGTGGCACGCTCTATTCCTCTGCCATATCTCCATCTGTAAAGTTCAAGAACTCTCCATGTTGTATGTGTTAAAAGTGGGTGGCACACGCAATGCCGCAGGCCCAAAAAAGAAAAAAAAACAAAAAGGTACAAACTTTTCGCCGCCTGCTCATGTGTGGGTCGCTATTCGTACCAGACGCCGACTGGCACCTAAATTTCAATTGGCGCTCACACATCGTAACTTTGTGTTACCCTTTCGCCCAAAAACTTGTTGGCTGCAACAATAAAAACTTTAACTTTGTAATGCGTTTAGTTATAATACGTTGGATCTGGGTTTTTACTTGATTCTTAATCGATATATTCGCGTGCGCGTCCACCTGGCACCAAGGTTTTGTAAGGCTTCTAATTTTTATGGCCAACCATTTAGCCGGATTTTTGCTATCAAATGAACTGAAATTTCAATTTATCTAAAGAGAAATGCTTAAAATAAAAGCCTGTACCTAACTATCAAGTTAATGAGAGCTGTTAAGGATTATAACATGCTTCACAACATAACATGCTGCTGTTAATAGGAGCGTTAAGTTTAACAGATAGTCAAATGTTAAAGGAAGTTTAACAGTCTATATTTAAGAGAAGCCTTCCTATACGATTGCAAGACTGTAGACAGCTAATTAGGTGTCTCTTCCATTTCCAGGCGGCTTCGATGGCACCTCCAATGTTCTGGCTGGTAAACTCTTCAATATACCCGTCAAGGGCACGCATGCTCATGCCTATATCACGAGCTTCAGCAGCGTGGGTGAGCTAAAGACGCGTCTGCTCAAGCACAAGCAAACGGGTGAGTGCCTAGCTATACATAAATCAAAGAGTTCATAAATGTTAACCAATTGCTGTACAGGTGTGATGGAGGATCTGCTGGAGCATGCCATACGGCATCGCCAATTGTTATCGCATGTCCTCGACGTATCCACGGAGGAGTCTAGCGAGGGTGAATTGGCGGCGATGGTCTCGTATGCGATCGCCTTTCCGGATGGCTTTATGGCGCTTGTCGACACGTACGATGTTAAGAGGTATTTCGCTTTTAGGCAGATTCTCTCGGAACGGTTTTTGGTTATGTATATTCAGTATTCGTTTGAGTTTTGGCATTTTACTTAACTTTATTATTTTTTTTTTGTGTGTTTACTATTTACTTTTGTGTGTCGAAACTTTACATACATTTCTCAAGTATTTGACAGCGTGCACCAAATTAACTCAACAGTTTTAAGCAGCTACAAGTAACAGCAACAAGAGCAGTTATTAAACCTAACCTATGTACTTATATAATGTCTCATGTCTTGTTCTGTAATGACCATGCCCACCGTACCCGTACCCGTACCCGCCCCCTGCCCGTAATATCCTCAATTTATGAGTTAGTTTCATTTTGTGCGCTTTGTTTTCGTCGCAAGTATGTAATAATTCAAGTATTCCCAACAGCCGAGAAACAGAACAAGTCACACAAGTCTCATACGTACAAACTGATAACAAATCAAGAACTAGTCAGCCAACGAATGGCATTGGCAATGCCCCTCCAACGCCACCGGCCACGCCCCATGCCCAAAATGGTCAAATCAATGGACAGAAGATCAATGGCCAGATCAATGAGCATCATTTGAGCCATTTAAATGGGTTCTCCAACAAACCGCTCACAGAGCCAACAATAACAGAAACAGCCACTCCAACTGCAACTCCAACTGCAACTCCAACTCCAACTCCAACTGCAACTGCAACAACAGCAGAAGCAACAACAACAAGAACTCCAACAATCAGCACTTCATCGTCCAATGGGGCGGCGTACCTACCAAAATATGTCGAGAAGTCATTCAGGTAAATGTCACGTACCGAAACACTCAATTTAGCTGGAACAACAATAATATTTAACCAAAAAAAAAAAAAAAAAAACAAAACAGAACAAATTAAAAACCAAAACTCATTGCCATTATTTCTGCGTTAATTGTTTACCATTTCTTTCATTAATTTTTTAAACTAACAAACCTCCAAGCTATATTTTTCTAATACACATGTTTTTTCTGTTTTTCTGTTAACTGGGGCTAGCATGAGTGCCCCTACTACTAATACTACTACACACACACACACACACGCACACATGAAATGTCATATCATGCGCTGTATCAAAAAAAAAAAGGAAAAATTCAAAAATTATGCATATATACACATATGTAACACTATTTATATATGTATGTATGTGCTACATGTATTGGTCTAAGCCCAGGCTAACGGTATTGCTAACACAATTAGGCGAGCTCAATATGCAAAACAGGTGATGTGCCCTCTACTTTGTATTTTACCCAATTTTTTTAAACCCTTTTTTTATATTTATTTTCGACTTTTTCCTCTATTATGTCTATTATTTACTTTGATAGTTTATTTTTTAGCAATACTTAACATTTACTGATAAAATTAAGTTAACAGGTCTGCTCATAACAGCATTATGTGAACCCACGAGAACGTTATGAATTCTTAATGTTACGTTAACAGCGCGTCATTTACTTGCACACAATTAACATAACATAATTATGTTCATTTGCAGCCAAGTAAATAGTTTGTCAATTTAACTTAACAGAAAAAAATTTTTAATGCTAACAGCACTAAACATGTTAACGAGAACCTGTTAATTCAAGACGCAACTGACAGTTTCTTTTTTCGGCCTATGATTTCTCTACTGGGCACTTTTTCTACTTCCTTTTTTATTTAGCAAAGCTTTTAACATAACTAACCAACTGGTTCACTTACATTTACATTTCTTTAACCATTTTCATTTAATTTAAATACAACTTTGTTTTTACTCTTCGTGAATTGTGACATTAAACGAATCAAAAAATAATCAGAGATGCCTATACAAAAATATATATACATATAAAAAAGAAAACCATATCTAACATAGTAAAAATGACTTCCCGGCACTATTTTGGCAGAGGTATGTAAAACACGTCTTGAAAATACAAAAAAAAAAAAAAAAAGAAAAGGAAAAACTACAAAATACGACACATACTATACACGAATTGCATAATCATAACACTCATACATATATATGAAATGAACTTTTAACAATGTTATCGAACAGATTTCAGCTGCGAAAACCCACACTGAATCACCTTAATGTTGCCCATGCTACATACATAATATATACTATATATGTCTGTTAATTTATTTTTGGTCTAATTATCGAGATTTACACGTGTTTTTTTTTTTTCCTTTTATTGTTTACCTATTGAATTCTCAGTTTATTTTGTAATTGTTAATTGATTATTTGTGTGTGTGATTGTTTTTTTTGTTTTGTTTATGTTGTACACATACACACATAAATATTTCTAAAAAAAAAAATGTCTGCTAAGTTTTACAATTTACATTTTAAAGAAAGCGTCCGAGAGAGCACACTGCATGGCTTTCAGTAATTGAAGCTTGATTTGTGTCTTCAGAAACTAAAACGAACATTTTTTCAAGCCAACCCAAATTAGACCCTCCCCCTCCACCTTCCTCCTCCTCCTGCTTAATTTCTGATAGTCTTGACCCTGAAGGTCGCACGCTATGCGCACTCTGCAGCTTGTCTAAACCAGTGCCACGCCCACATTACACCGCCCCCATTTTGGTGGCCTCGCTTTGAACTTAGTCGCAAAGATATTGAATTGAATTGAAAACCAAATCCCAAGCTGCACCTTTGCTTGTTTTTTTTTATGACACCTTGTTTTAATGCACGCTCACTTTGCTCTCTCTCCTCTCTCTTTCTCTCTCGCTGCGCTCTCTCTCTCTCTCTGTCTCTGTGTAGGAGCGGACTGTTCAATTTTAGCGCCGTGGCGCTGGCTCTCAACGATTTGGGCTATCATGCGCTGGGCATACGCATTGACTCCGGCGATTTGGCCTATTTATCGTGCCTGGCGCGCGAGGCCTTCGAGAAGGTGGCGGAACGCTTTAAGGTGCCCTGGTTCAATAAGCTGACCATTGTCGCCTCCAATGACATCAACGAGGATACCATACTCAGCTTGAATGAGCAGGGCCACAAGATCGACTGCTTTGGCATTGGCACTCACTTGGGTAACTAAAATAAATATGGCAATTTAAAAAGAGAAGAATAATAATAAAAGAATTTGTGTTTCAGTTACCTGCCAGCGACAGCCGGCCCTGGGCTGTGTCTACAAGCTGGTGGAGATTAACGGCCAGGCGCGCATTAAGCTCAGCCAGGATGTGGAGAAGGTCACCATGCCGGGCAACAAGAACGCCTATCGTTTGTATAGCGCCGATGGACATGCTCTGATTGATCTGCTGCAAAAGGATTCGGAACTGCCGCCGGCTGTTGGCCAGAAGGTGTTGTGCCGCCATCCGTTTCAGGAGTCGAAACGCGCCTATGTCATACCCTCGCACGTTGAGTCGCTCTACAAGATCTACTGGAAGGCGGGCAAAATATGCCAGCTGCTGCCCACGCTGGAGCAGGTGCGCGAGAAGGTGCAAATCTCGCTGAAGACGCTCCGCAATGATCACAAGCGCACGCTCAACCCAACGCCGTACAAGGTCGAACAACTTAAATCAATTCTAATACCCATTACATAATCTACATTCATGCTTCTCCCTTCAGGTGGCCGTCAGCGATAATCTGTACAACTTCATACACGATCTGTGGCTGCAGAATGCCCCAATTGGCGAACTCTCATGATCTATATAAGCAGCCGCCGCGTTGGCCGCCGTACGAATTACGAATTCCGCAGAAAATTCTACGCCCATAGCACACATTTATTTGGTCTAATCGCAATGCGATTTTAGTCATTTGCTGGTCATATGCATTAATTGTAAACATTTGGAATAGTTGACGATTCCAAAAAAAAAACAAAAAAAAAAACAGAAACTAACTAAAAAAATTGTTTGTAGCGTGACATTTGAAACTAAGCCGATTTTTCGATGTGCAAAATTATGTGTGTTTTGCGCACAAATTCATTTAGTACCAACCAATAAACCATATGTAGCTTATACATAGTGATTCTTAACTCTTAAATTTCTATATACATATATAAACGCACATCATATTCAGGAATGTGTCATGTGCCTTACACAAAAATATCGTAAACTGTAACCAAATACTTAAGTGGAAAAACGAAAAGCTGGATGTATTTAATATTTTTAGTCGTTAAGTGTTGTATGTTGCTAACAAATAACAAAAAAAAACAAAAACAAAAACAATCTTAAACAAAAACCTAAAACAAATCAGTTTGAAGTACAAATGTTTTGCTAATTAGTTGCATGTAAAGGGCGGCACACGTAAATGCACACTTACATATTTAACAAATGCTTATGTTTAATTATAATCAAGTGTAAATATGTTCAATCTTATAAATGTAAGCCAGAAAGCAGTACGCAATACACAATACACTACACACAACACAGTCAAACAAAATACACGTTTATTAAACGAGCGCTTCAATAAAATTCTGTGTTTTATTTATGTGCAAAGGGAAGTAGTTTGGGGCTTAAATTAAGTCTTGAAGAGTAGAAAACTTGGTTAAAAAGAAAAATGTATTATGTTACTACAAAAGATAACAGAAAATTGAAATTTGAATATATTTGAAAGGCGCAATTATGCTGCTTCTTCTACGCTGTAAATGCAATGTTAATATTACATTTAAAGGCCAGCGCTTTAACAGCTGCTGCTGATCGTGAATTGTTTATGTTAATGTATATATATTTTATTTAATTTAATTCATAAAATTGTCTTGATTTGGCACCAACATTGCTTTTAGCATTCAAAACTTAGGGTGCACACATATTATTAACATAGTTGAATAAGATTAATTATATGACGCATTTGTGTGGCATCTTCTACGCTGTTATTGCAATGTAAAACGTTTCGAGCAGGTTGGCAGCCCTCAAACAGCTGTTGCTGTGCGTGAATATGTTTATGTTTACGCTATTTTAGGTAATTTCGTTTTTTATTGTACAAATTGACTTACTTGGACTACACTGGTTGCAATATTGTCGTGCGTAGGCGCCAAAATGGACGTGAGCTGTGTGAAAATCAAGCAGGAGCAAGAACAGGAACCGCTGCCAATGGATTCGGTCTCGGAGGACGCCAGCTGTGCCCAGCTAAAAACCGAAAGCGATTTTACGGAAATGGACATAGGACCCATCAAAATAGACCCGGATGCGACTGCAGTGTGCCAGGGACAGGCAGCTGCCGGCAACGCAAGGGATCGGCGAAAAAAGCAGAGACCCGCCGCAACACTGGAGTAAGCGATAATTGATAATTGATTCAATTTGCACATTGGGGAGAATTGGTAAAAATGTCTAATACAATGTTTGCTTGCACGCAGGGATTACAAACTGCCCAAGGGAGCCCATCAGTGCCCGCACTGTCCACGGCACTTCGAAAGAAGCGACGAACTCAAAATACACCTGCAGATCCACACAGATAAATTGCCCTACAAGTGCGTCTATTGTCCGAGCAGTTTTTCCCATAAATCGATATACACCACGCACATGTACGGACATACTGGCAAATTTCCGCACCAGTGCCCGGACTGTCCGCAGGGCTTCCTCAAATACGGCGATCTCAAGAAGCATCGACGCACGCACATTGATAAAAATGCATTCAAATGTCCCCTGTGTCCCAGAAATTGCACGCACACGGGCAAGGGCATACTGCAGTGCCCGCAGTGTCCGCGTGGCTTTACGAAGAGCTTCGAGCTGGAAATTCATCTGCAGATTCATAGCGATAAGCTGCCCTACAAGTGTCCGCACTGCCCGAACAGCTTTGCACACAAATCGAATTTCAAAGCGCATGTCTGTGAGCATACGGGCGAGTTTCCATTCAGATGCCGATACTGTCCACGGGGATTTATGAAGAGGAGCGATTTGTTGAACCACTCGTATTCGCACAGCGAGCATACGGACGAGCTGCCATTCAGATGCCCATATTGCCCGCAGAGCTTTCTGACAGAAAACGATCTGCAGAAGCATTCAGACATTCATAGAGCTAAGATTTCGCAAAACTATCGCAACAAACTGGGCTCTAAAACAGGCTTAAAACGCCACAAAGACAATGCGCATAAAGAAATCAGAGACGTAAACTGTATAAAAAAAGAACGGGCAGAGTCAAGTGAAACACCTCCGAAAGCCGAAGCCCAAGTCGAGCACGAAGCCAAAAACGATTCGTCTATCAGCCAAACAGTCGAAACGCCAGAGCTCATAGCTGCCGATCGCATAAAAGTGGAGCCCGGCACGGAGGATTGCGGTTCTACAGCGGATCACAGTGCCTTAGATAAGTCTGATAGTAAAAATGATTTGGCTGAGAGCAATATTGTGCTGGGCCCCATCAAAATAGAACCGGATGAGAGCAGGCCGCCGGAGGAACAGACTTTAGCCAACGTGCGCTCAAAGCGTTGCTATAAATGCAAAGTTTGCAGCAAGGCATTCACGGACATTAAAGAGCTGCGCCTGCACGAAAAGTGAGTATCCAATACTTAAGTTGTGTTAGTCAAGCTTAACACGGCCTTATATTCAACAGATGCTACACACACTCAAGCAGGCAGACGACAGGCAATCGGCCGTATAAGTGCGAACATTGCTCAAAGACTTTCACCCAGTCGTACAACCTGACGGTGCACATGCGCGGCCATACGGGTGAGCGGCCGTACAAATGCCCGCACTGTACGCGCACATTTATCCAGAGCTCGGGCCTGAAGATACACATACGACAACATTCCGGCGAACGGCCCTATAAGTGTGCCCATTGTCCGCGCACATTTGCCAACAACTCGAATCGCAAGAAGCATCTGCAGAGTCATGGCATGGAAGTTGCCAGCGATCTACCGTACAGGTGTCCGCATTGTCCCAAAACCTTTGCACAAAACTCACATTTCATTGTGCACGTACGTGGCCACACCGGCGAACGGCCCTATCAATGCACCTACTGCACCAAGGGCTTCAAGGTTAGCCACGACCTGAAGAAGCATCTGCGCAGCCACACGGGCGAGCGTCCGTATGTGTGTCCGCATTGTGCCAAAACCTTTGCGCAGAACTCGCATTTCAATGCCCATCTACGTGGCCATGCCGGCGAACGACCATTAAAGTGCCCCCACTGTCCGCGCACCTTTCTCAAAGCCTACAATCTCAAGGTGCATCTGTGCACCCATACCGGAGAGCGGCCGTACAAGTGTCCACACTGTCCGAAAACCTTTACACAAAACTCTTACTGCAAGGCGCATATGCGTGAGCATATGAAATGAAATTTAAGTTAAAAGCTACAATGTTATGGCATTTGTTTCTTAAATAATTAGACAATTAATAATAGTATTAATAATTATACAATTTAACTGCGGGATTTTACTCAGTTTACTCGTTGTTAGCTTATATTAATTTTAGTAGATACGTATAAATATACATAAACAATCGAATTAAGCTACACTCAAATTATATTTAGTTATATACTAAACATTTCTATTTTAAATTGAAATATGTGCTTTAAGCGAATTTTTGAATGTCTCACTTGGCGCGCACTTAGCATTTTCTGCTTCTTGCTCTGTCGCTTAAAAAACTTTCAGCTAAGTTGGCAGCCCTTTAACATCTGTTGCTGTATGTGGATTTCTTTCTCCGACTAATAAGTGTAATTTGTTTATATGAAGTTTATTTAAGCTAAGTTAGTTATAAATATTATATTAATATGCAAGAGCGAAAATATGTACTATCGGAGGAGAAGGACGCGCAAAATAAGAAGCCAAATGTAGTTGTTCTCGAGAATCGTGATGAAGCTATTCTAACAGAGATGGACATCGGACCGATTCAGATAGAGTTGGATGGCTGTACAATTGTCGACGGAGTATATATTGCACTAACAGCAACCAAGTAAGAGGCATAAAAATATCAATAAGGGTCTGACAACAGAAATTTCTAGAGATTTATTACGGAAATGCCATCAAATCTCTTGATATTTGAAAAAAGCTTAGTTTAAAAAACTGAGGTATTCAGATATTGCTTAATATCTGGCGCATTAGATATTTTACTGGCTAAATTGTTGCCTTCCAGGACCCTCCGTGCCTTGCTAGGCATTTTCGTGCCTTAACAAATTTTTTCGTGCCTTTTCGTGCTTTTGGGTTTGGGCACGAAACTCTTTCTGTCGAGTTGGCAGCCCCTAAGCAGCTGTTGCTGTGCACAAAGTGTTTACACGCAATTGATTAAAATTGGATTCTAGAATAATTCAAGTTAACTTTATGTTTTAATACACTGCATTGTCTACCATGAGCGAGAATTTAGAGCTGAAATACATAAAAGTAGAGCATATAAAAGAGGAGGACGTAAGTGCCGAATGGCATCCCGCCGAGGCGCTGCTGGCCAAAACTGTAGGAAAGAAGGAAATCAAAACAGAGGACAACTATGCTGAAATGGACATAGGACCTATCCAGGTAGAGCTGGACAGGCCCACAAAATGGCAGAGTCGAGCCAGTGTAAAGCAGCGGCAGAAGCAGAAAGGAGCGCCCGGAATGAAGTAAGCGCAAATTGAAACTAGCCAAAAACTCTGCTCAATACATGTATTTGCCATCATATAGGAGTAATAGCGGTGGCAAGCAAAGCAATCAGTGCCCCTACTGCCCGCGCCACTTCGAGATGCGCTACGAACTCCAGATACATCTGCGCATCCATACGGACAATCTGCCGTACAAGTGCCAACAGTGTCCGATTAGCTTTGCCCACATCGCGAACTACAGAGCGCATATGCGTGGCCACAAGGACAGGTGCCCGTACAAGTATCCACATTGCCCGAATGCCTACGATCAGTATACACACTATCTGCTCCATATGCGCACGCACGCCGTGTCGCTCCAGTGTCCACATTGTCCGCGAGTCTTCTTCAAGCATTGCAGCTTCATGCGGCATTTCAATGCGCACAACAGCAACATACGCGAATTGTTGCGCTACAAGTGCAGCCACTGTCCGGAAACCTTTGCCCAGCTGTCGAGGTGCAAGGCGCATATGAGGAGACACGACATGCCGGCCAGCTAATGTGTACCAAGTGCAATGAATTGCGTCGGAGCGATGTCCGATGGAAAGAACCAACCCGGGGCAAGCTGCGTCTGCTCAAACTTTGGAGCCTGGCGAGAAATGCAAAAGGGTCTTTGAATCTTAAATCTCAAGCGTCATCTTTTAATACATAATCTTAGGAATCATATACAAAAGTTTTAACGCAACATCTTATACAATAGTAATTAGTTTTAAGTGAATTTGTTAGTTAATAAAAAAGCCTGAATGTACAGTGGAAGCTGTTTTGAGCAGCATTTTTCCAATTAACCTAACTCAGCTTTACATTAAAACACAAAAGTGCACAAGCATGACCTACGCAGTTTGTAAAAACAAAAGTTTAGTTTGACATCTCAAGTAATTCAAACAAAAAAACAAACGACAGCTGAAAAAACAATTTATTTTCAAACCAACTTCGACAAAACGCGCAGTTGCTTCCTCTACATTGTTTTGCCATTCACAGTAAACTGCGTTGACGTCTGAGTGGCATATTTCAAACAAGTTGGCCGCCCCGCATGGTGGGAGTGTATAAGTGTGTAGTGTGCCAAAGTGAGTTAGCTTTTTGTTTATTGGACTTTTCCTTTGGCTGTGCTGCGCTGCCAGCGTCTGTGAAAGTGAAAAACTTGGACATTTTCATCATTTTGCAATTGCCAGAATTGGCAGAATTGTGCAGCAATATAATTGTGTGCGGATTTTAACAAATTTCGCTGCAGCTGCGCGCAGACGGGCTCTCGTTTCTGCGGCTTAGACAACGGCAACGGTAACGGTGACACACACTCACACGTACACGGTCCAGCATACGCATACGCACACACACACACACACACCTGCACGGAGCACTCCATCTTTAGCATGCATTGATTTTTAACACTCTTCTTGCAGTTGAACAAACTAATATTGCAAGTCAAAAATATTGATATACAAAAATGGAGCCAACGAGTAAACAGCATGAGGACAGCATGGACATTGTGGATGCCGTAGCACGCAAGGATTTCATGCTGGACCGATTGAACAAACGCAACAAGGATCGCCAAAACTATTTGGACGTGAAGCTGGAGCAGCGCAGCAAGGAGTGCGCACAGAACGAGGGCGTCGACTACTTTGCCCAATCCTTTGGCCAGCGCGCCTACGACATAGAGCAGCGCATCGGCGCCATGCAGCTGGACAGCGGGGATGCGCCGCTGCCGGATCTCAGCAAGTTGTTTGCGGACATTACACTGCAAATACAGGAATTGCAGCGTTATTTGACCGTATCGACCATGTTTTTGTCGGATTATAAGATCAAATCCTGTCAGAATGCACTCAATTCGTTGACCAGCGCCTGTGATGAGGCGCGCCAGCGTCTTATGCCCAAAAAGAAATTCGGTTTTAGCGGCAAGAAGTCGGTGGTTAAGCATAAGCTGCCCCTTGATCTCTGCAAGGTGGATGCACCGGAGAAGACACCAAAGACGGGCGGCACCAGCAGCGCCTTCACCTGGACAATTTCCAATCAGCGCAATGCGCACATTGTGCTGCGCGCCGAGCAGGTGAACGGCCAGGACATAACCATTTCCAATGTGCACAAGTGCCTGGTGGAGCTGCAGGGTCATGCCGGCTCCGTGCAGGTATCCAATGCCAGTCAGTGCACCCTGCTCTGCGGTCCCGTGGCGCGTTCGTTCTTCGCCGAGCAGCTGGAGCGCTGCACCGTCGCAATTGCCTGCCAGCAGCTGCGTCTGCATTCATCACAGGCGACACGAATCTATTTGCATGTCACCTGCCGGGCCATTATCGAGGATTGTCGTGAAATTGAGATTGATGTCTACAACTATGATTATGCGGAACTGGAGGCAGACTATGAACAGTCCGGCTTGAACAAATCTCAGAATAACTACACGGATGTCGCCGATTTCAATTGGCTGTCGCCCGACGTCCATTCGCCCAACTGGACGCTGCTCAAGGATCATGCGGCGCCCAATTGGAGCGCTGTGCGACGCGACTTTTTGAATAACATTGCCAGCGATGGCAAGGATGCCGTCAAGGATGCCACAATGATATAGTGTTGGCATCGGCGGAGGCGGCTGCTCCTCCTGCTCGTCACGCTGCTCGCCTACGCCTTTCCTCTGGGCTGGCTGCTCATGGAGCTGCTGATGCCGCTGCCCAGCAACATAACGTGTACTGTGTAAATAGCTCGTAAGCCCAATAAATAATCCAAGTTGAATGTTGATACATAAAATACACCCTAAAACCAAATCACCAACCATGTGCCTGCAATGCGGGTGGAACTGCGCCCTATTTGGGGCACGTCATCTTGCCCCGAAACTTGTCTTGCCGCAATTTGACATGTCCATTTGGCTGGCATAATCAGTGGCTGACCAAAATGACTGTGCGCCGACGACTGTCACACAAATTACAGTTACAACAAGCGGACAATTCGACGGCACGAGTCATGCAAGTTTCATGTGGGCCCCCTTCGAAATTGGCCAGCTCATCCCAAATACATCAAGCATCTACATTTAAGGGTCTATCAACAATGTCAACGAACATGTCAGCTGCCAGTTTTTAGGTATGTTTTCTTATCATTTTTGTTGGTAATGTTAATTTTTGATATTACTTGTATATATTTTTATGATTAATACTATTATTATTACTTTTTATATTAATAGTCTTATTATTCATATTAATACTATTATTAATATTAATATTATTTTTATTAATATTAATATTATTTTTATTATCATTATCATTATCATTATTATCATTACCATTACCATTACCATTACCATTAAAATTACCATTATCATTATCATTATTATTATCATTATCATTATCATTATCATTATCATTATCATTATCATTATCATTATCATTATCATTATCATTATCATTATCATTATCATTATCATTATCATTATCATTATCATTATCATTATCATTATCATTATCATTATCATTATCATTATCATTATCATTATCATTATCATTATCATTATTATCATTATCATTATCATTATTATCATTATCATTATCATTATCATTATCATTATCATTATCATTATCATTATTAATTTTACACAGAGGCAAGTAGAAGGCACGCCCAACTAAAAGTACAAATTTCGGTGTTCCAATATATTTTCTACTTGGTCGCATATTGTGTAAGGGTATTTAATATTTGGCATGCTGCAGTTTCTAAACTTTTAGCTGCCGTTGTTGTTGTCCCTTGTCAACGTATCCAACTGTCAAAATAATTAACGAATTTCAGTTGCATGCCAAGTCATGGGTAGGGAAGTGGGGCGGGGAACACCGCTGAGACGCTGTGAGCCAGCGTATTAGCGGGGTAATTGAACTGCAAATTACACAAGAGCCTTGTGAGGTTATGTAATAAGCTGTCAGTGGTAACAGTTGTCATCATTAGGTTTACATATATATGTACATGCACAAATGTACATACATATGTGCATATATGTATGTAAACACAGCTGTGTCCAGAATGTGGCATCTTTTAATTCGCCAGAAAGCGCAGGAGGCTTCTTCGACCATATAGAGTATATATGTGTATATTTTAAACGATTATTAATAGACAACTCAATCTATATCCGTCTGTGAGTCCGAATGTTTGAACGCATTCATCTCAGAGACCTTAGAGACCTTCAAAAACCAAGCTCAATTGATTAAAAAATTGATATTTCTTCGGTTTACCATACCTCGATGCTTCTAGGAGCTAGAAACAAATGTTGAATTCATACTTCTCATCGATCCTTTCACATCTGAAAGACCTTAAGGGTTGGGGATTTAGAATTTTGAGCGTAGATGCTCGAAGTACAAGAATAGATCAGATTTGTTATAAATCTTTAAAAGACTAGATTGTGATATTTTTTTTACCATATCTTGGAACTTATAGCTTAGCTAGAGGCATACAATTTGGTGCGTAGGTACACAAATGTAGAATACATACTTCATTTCAGAAGTATAAGAAACTTTATTGAAAGTTTAGCCCAGACTACATTTGAACATCATTTTAATGCAATGCGAATATCAACAAGATCGGACAATATATACCGAAGTTCTTCAAGAAGAAACAGCGCAGTATGCGTAGAACATAGTTTGAATGATGTTCGCGTCGGTTCATTGCTAGGTACAGGGCATTCGTCAGTCGTTCACGGCCGACTGAATTTGATTTTTTGTAGCATTTGGCACTGGTAAAGGCAGGTTGAAAAGACAAGATGAAAGCAACAAAAGGCAAACAGCTTATCAGGTGTTGGAGCTACTATCCTTGCGGTCGAGTCCAGCTGCAGGTGCAGCAGCTGTATAAGACAAAAGGCTAGATAACAGCGCAGCCGGAGCCAAACATTTGAGACCGTCAATTAAGGGGCGCATACGGGCTCGGGACACGGTTCGGTTGGCTTTGGGTGTTGCATGCAGCTGGAAGATTGCCGGTTAATATTACCCGGCGCTCGTCTTGGCTTGACTGTGCCAATTAAATGCAATGCTGGCGGGCGGGCGGTCGGGGCGGTCAGCAGTTGCAGCTTCGTGTCCTGAGCTAATCAAAATTGTGGTTACAGCATTTCAGGGGATTACTTGCGAGACTACGTTGTGACCTGAGGGCAACTTAGTTTTGTTGCAACTTTAAGTTGTTGCGCAGAGAAATTTTCCAGCAAATAAATATTTCTTCGTGTTTCCACAGCTAAGTGTGAATAAATATTAAATAAATATAGAAAAATTGCATTAAAACACGTTAAACTAACAGTCTTATGTTGATTGAAGCTGTTAACAGCATGCACAACATTATCCAATAACAATTGCTAAGCTGTTATTAACAGCAGGTATTCATAATAAACGTATTTAAGCGAGTTTTACCTTGCAAGAAATATAAACGGCATTGCTTTTCAATTTTATTTCAGTCATGTATAATTGGCTTCAGCGCATAAGTGTGTGCGTACTTTTAAGCAAAACTGTTATGCCCGTTAACAGCGCTGCAGTACTGTTAAGCTGGCAAACCAGCTTGCCTGCTATTAACAGCCGTGACTGTCAAACTGTACGTTCTAACCGCAAGCTAAATGCAAAGTTTTTCAAATTATAAAACAAACTTTAGACCGGCATTGTCTAATCTGGAATTAAGCAAAATTAATTAACATGCAGCAGCCATGTATGTGGTGTCAGCAACAGGGCGTATTGGCATTGTGTGCGCAGGCACGCCTTAGATTTCGGGCATAATCAGCTATCACACACTGTCGCACACACTTTCCTGCTTGTGTATGTAGATGTAGTTGGCAACGCGTTTGTGCAATTTGCGG